TTCTTCTTCTTCTTCTTCTCCTTCTTTTTCTTTTCCTTCTGTTTCTTCTTCTTTTTCTTCTTTCCTTCTTTTTCTTTTTCTTTTCCTTCTTTTTCTTCTTCCTTTTCTTCTTCTTCTTCTTCTCCTTAAGAAGGATTCCGCGCCATGAATTCAGCTCATCAGATGATAATTACGATAACAGTCTTTGTCTGAGTCGCTGCAGTAAGAATCTGGCGATTGGATTTTGCTGGCCCAGGACAGGGTCTGGTGGAGGGCTTTCGTTAATTCGGTGATGAACCTTCGAGTTCCCTAAGCCATCTAGTTAGTTAGTTAGTTAGTTACTTAGTTCTGTCTTTCAAAGTTAGTCAATGAACGCATAGAATTCGAATATCTAAACGGCATTTATACGAGGAGTCGGTTCGGGAGACATCAATGCACTCTGAATCACACACGAAATAGTTAAACACATTCTTCTACTCTAATTTCAAAAACAAGATCAGTTAGTAACAACTTACCTGGATTGGTTCCGCGTTGTAACAAAACCACTTCCACCAACAGCGTCTCTCTAATTGGGTGATATGCGCGCCCACTTATCGGAACTAATGACGAAATATTATCTGAAACAAATAAACATCGAACAGCGTTACGAACGTGGTTAATGCCTTAAAGAACCCTGAGTCATGCGTTAATGATAAATCGATATGACATCATATAAAATATCCCATTTCGATATATCGCTTCATACTTTTATTATTTTTAAAGAAATACGGAGTTAATTAAAACACATTTAATTTCGTAGAATAAATAAGTACAGTGACTGACTGCGGACTGGACGATCGGAGTTCGATCCCCGACGGGCGCAGAGGATTCTTCTGTATCCTCTGTGTCCAGACCGACTCTGGGGCCCACCCAGCCTCCTGTCCAATGGGTACTGGGTTCCTATCCCGGGGGTTTCGCCACCTTAGAGGGTAGGCCACTTCCGGAGTCTGTAAGCCCCTGAGGAAATTCCCAGGCAAGGCCCCCACGCCTAGTTCCAATCGCAATCTTTTCAGCCAACCCCTGGCGTCCTTCCCTAGGATGTTTGTTTCATTGGGATCTGGCCCCAGCTTTACCCTAAGACTTCATGTTTGAATATAACGCTGGACTGCTTCTGCATAAATATAAACCCGGTTTCAGCTTTTCGTTAACATTTATGATGACTAAAGTAGGAGGAGGGGGGACTAGAGAAGCCAACAGAAGACTTGGTGGCGTTTCCAAAAACAATGGGTGGCCATAATTTCTTTGCGAAGTTAATAGTTTAAGCCCGCAATGAGGAAGTAAGATTTGTTATACGTTTTGCGTAACTAATTACTTAATAACACGCCAAAGGTAGCTTGGCAAGGCGACGAAGAGTTCGGACGAATATAAGATGGAAATTAAGATGATAGGTTGTGAGGACATGAGGTGAATGTAACTGGTTTAGGATAGTCACTAATGGAGGTCCGCGGTATAAGCCGCGATGAATTGCCGGATTCTCCGAATCTGAAATCAGTTACCGGTCGCTGACAACCCTAATGTATGCTTCCTGTCCGACGAATTATGTATACGCCACATAACATATAATACGTCGTTAACATAACGTAAGTTATAACTTGTATTAAAAGCGTTATGACGTTTAATTCTTTTAAGAAATACTATTAAAACATTATCGAAAACCCTTATTCGGTGTAATATATATCTGTAATTTATCGCCTCTGTCAACAGCAGCATTTATCACCGATTGCGATGTTCACTGCGCTAAGTTTTTCTTTTAAAATTTGTCTTTACGAGCAATTCTATGCTTGTGTTGGTCTCAAAATTCTTCAGCCAACAGATTTTGAATTTTCTCTTATTACTATCTGCCCTGCAGATGTGAAATTCAAAGCTGTCTTCGGCCTCCTACGACATCACATTTATATCACCTTCTGCAGGAGACAAATACAGAAATATATAATATATTAATATATAAAATATATTTAATTATATATATTATTATTTAATCGAGATTAAAAATCTGTACTCCTCCCCCAATATTGTCAGGGTGATTAAGTCGGGAAGAATGAGATGGGCTGGGCATGTAGCGCGCATGGATGGGACAAGAGGTGTGCACCGGGTATTGGTTGGGAAGCCTGAGGGGAAGAGACCTCTGGGGAGACCTAGACGTAGATGGGAGGATAATCTCAGGCGGGATCTATGGGAGATAGGAGTTGAAGGAGACTGGATTTTGTTGGTCCGGTGGAGGGCTTTGGTTAACTCGGTGATGAACCTTCGGGTTCGGTAAGCCATCTAGTTAGTTAATATATTTAATTAAAGAAACATTACTGACCTTTATTTGGTCATATATTTCATTATATTTAAGTGCGTGTAGAATTAACTGTAATGGTTTTCAAAGATCTCATTTCTGTCGATTATATTCCTGTTTTACCACGCACTTCTAACTCTGTTTTACTTACATTCCGTGCGATTTGAAACGCGTTCCTATAGAGGTTACAATTATTTAAATTGTACCTACAAATATTTGCTCTTTATTATCCAAATTTCTTACGGAATCTAAAATAATTTTATTTCTTAATATTTAAATTCACATAATTGTAGAATACAATTTTTCCTACAACAATACAAATTTAGGAACAATGGACGATGGAAATCGTCAAAGATAATACTATTTTAACATTAGGAGCTATTAACAACAGTATTTGAAATAATTACAAAGTGTTTTTACAGAAATGAGGTTCATGGTGATATTAGGGGACAAATGAAATCATAAAAATGTTAATTCCCAATTCATAAACTGTTATTATTCAGCGTTCTTCATTAAGGCTTTGACCGGGATGTTCTTTTGTTAAATCTTATGTGGTACCGCCTGATTCGACTTCTAATGGTTAAGTGAAGTGTTTTCTTCGCGGTACGGTCTGGATTCGTAAATATTATGAAGACGAGCTTCGGCTTCAAAGGGTTAACCAGCTGATTTTCGTAATGGTGAGGTGTAGTGTTTTCTTCGCGGTACGGACTGAATTCATAAATAATATTCAGACGATCTTCGGCTTCAAAGGGTTAAATGCAGCCTGGGAGTGAGATTTAATGGAATTTTCTCATCTGTCCTCAATTTATAATCTTTCGTTTACTCTCGCGAAGGAGACACTTTGGGGTTTCGAAACTGCAGGTGCCATCATCAAGGCCGTTACAGAATTCTCATCATCTTAAGTAGACTGTTATCCAATTTACGGTTGAGAGAAGTAAATCCAACTTGATGGTGATTATAGTTGAATGGAAAACAGATGTATGTCATAAAACTCTGTGTGTAGATCCTTAGAACGGACTGCACACATTTCCGACTCCTAGAGCTCCTTAAATAATTCCCTAGGGCGTTTAATACCCGCCACCCCAACTGTGTTAAGGCACTAAGAACTCACGAAAAACCTCGAGAAGGCCAAATGTCATCAGATCAGTCCGTCGATCCTTCAAAGCTGTAATTAAGTCTAGATCTGCCACGCTGATAAGACTTTTATACCAGATAATTTATATCTAGACGTCTCATTATCTTGACAGGCACTCGATTCGTAGTAGTAAGTAAATAATTTATAAATAAATCAAACTGTTTTCTGCACATTATCCATCGTCCAAGATTAAATAAAATAAAATCAATAAAACCACGACGTTTCGGAGATGAGAGTTTATCTCTGAAACGTCGTGATATCATTTATTTTATTTTATTTAATCTTGGACGATGGATAATGTCCTGGAAATAGTTTTCTTCAACAACGCACCATCGTCACAAACTTTCAGAATTGATATCAAATCTAAAAGTTCTTGACGATGGTGAAGAGTCAATTGAATAAAAATTTCCTTGGATATTATCCATCGTATGGCAAATATAAAACGTAAAACGACGTTTCGGAGATGGGACTCTATCTCCGTCTTCAGGTTCCTACAAAGTTGGGCCCACTAGATAGAGCTAATCCCTATCTCCGTCGAATAAAAATTT